TGCTGATCAGAGGCATCAATACAGAACTTCAAATTGCAGGCACAAAAAAGGGTCCTATGATAACAATAATACTGTGCTCTTCTGTCTGCAATTTTAAAATTTACTAAACCATGCTACCGAATATAACCTGCCCACACGGCAGAGTCTAGCAAACTCCCCGTGGCGTATCCAATATGCCAAATACCAGTAACAATGATGGGTCTCATTCTCCTAACCTGAAAGAGCCTTGAATATGGAACTTATTAAAATCTCAGGGCTAGGACGAATGAGACGTTACTGGGGCCTGCTCGAAGCAATCGACGAACAACAGGATGATCGTGATCGTCATCGTGACTAATCCATGCAGGTCTCTTTAGAAAAGTAATTATTATTACGTTCATAGTGCTGAGCTAGTTACTATTTAAATAATAATGTTACATTGCCATAGCCTAAATGTTTTCACATATTCGGTGATAGTTCATTCCAACACCATTCCTATATTAGTTTAGTGCTTTTAGTGCATTATTTTGGGATAATACTGTGCCCCTTTAATACTGCTCATGAAAGAAAGTACAGCAAATGTAGCAGCCCTCTCTTTGACTTTAGGATAAAACTATTTCATCATTCCATCTCTGCTAAATGTTAAACTCAAGTTTTGCAATTGTTTTATTTTGTGTATTTTATTCAACATATATATAAAATTTTTTTCTATAACTTGTATATGTAAACATATGCATATTAAGGTTTTCTTGCTTTAGGAAGAATGTTGCTGCATACGATTAACCATAGGTGCCTTCTGAATCTGTTACCAATTATATTAAATTGTATATTAAAATTACAGCCTATAATTTTCAAAACTACATTTAGCAATTATGTAGCTGTGCTACATAATTCTATATTAAACGATATCACATTCTAACCAATTTTCTTAATTATAAGTAGCAAACCATAGATTTTAATAAGGTTTTCTGGTAGGAGAATCCCTTTGGATGTGTTTGGTATTCATCATGTTAATACTGCATAAGGTAATATCCTTCACATTTAGGCAATGACAGTACAATATAGAATGCCCTATTCTCCTTGCAGAAATGATGATAATTCCACATGGTTTTCTAACACGGGGTATACATGAGCACTTACTATGCTAGTGGTACTGAACTTAAGCTATTACGACTGCTTAAGTGTTTGTTAAAGGTCTGCTATAAAGCATACAAAATAAAGATAAAATAAGATAAAGTAAGATGTTACCTTCTTGTTGTTCATATTCTCCAAAAAGAGATCAACAAAAACAAAATCTGGTGGGATGTGTGGCCCATAATTGCTTGGAGAAACATCTTGCATGGTAGGTAAAGGGTGGGAGCTGAATACAGGGAGGGCAGGAAAGACTGTTAAGGAAGGAAATCCTGAAACCAGAGGAGGAAGGAGGGCCCCTGATACCTGGGGAGGGCAAGCACTAAGGCAAAGGGAATAGTCAGTGCAAAGGCCACGAGACACACCTGAGGAGCAGAAAGACCGTGTGGCTCACTAGAGGGAGTGGAAGCTTAGGATGAGGTCAGCGCAGTGCTGGGAAGAAAGGGCCCTATAGACATAGTAAAGACATTATTTATCTCCTGAATTTTCCCGAAAGCATTAAAACTAACAATATCCTTTGTTTGAATTTGCTTGCTCTGCTTCCTATCACTTTATCCAAATACTGCTTTTCTAGTATTCTGCAGTATTCTATAAATTGTTTCAAATAGCTACATACCTTATTTGATTTCTCCTACTTCATCTAGTATCATGACCACGACCACGACCATCCTGTTGTTCGTCCATTGCCTCGAGCAGGCCCCAGTAATGTCTCATTCGTCCTAGTCCTGAGATTTTTAAAAAGTGCTATAATCAAGGCTCTTTCAGGGTTAGGAGAATGAGACCCATCATTGTTACTGGTATTTGGCATATTGAGTATGCCATGGGGAGTTTGCCACACTCTGCTGTGTGGGCAGGTTATATTTGGTAATCTGCCGGGTTTGTCCAAAGTAAGAATGAGATAAGATGTCGCGCAGCCGTGAATCTAGTAATATCTATCTAATAAAAATTCTGATTATACATGTATTATACTTTGTATGTGCGTATGGTTTATACCATAATCTTCCACATTCTGATGACTTCTCTTTTATCACTGAAATATGTATCAAGAGAGCAATAAAGATGGGCTGAATGTTAAGGAGAATGAAGACCATTTGAATTTTTTTGTTTGCTTGCTTTTGGACCACACTCATTTGTACTCAAAATCTACTCCTGGATTTGTGCTGGGGGATGGGGGTGTTGCTTCTGACTGTGATTTGGCAACTATGTGGGGTGAGGGATGAAAGGCATGCAAGGCAGATGCTTTCATACCTGTACTCATTCTCCAGCCCCATTTTCAATATTTACTGGGGAGAATGGACTAGAAAGAAGCTGACCTGTGAAAGATGTTTCTAGAATAGGCTGATAGTGCAGCTGGGATAAATACCTAACAGTTTCATTGGTTTTCTTCTTGTTTGTTTAGGAATGCATAGCAGCATTGTCACCCCAAGTAACCATACACATATAACTGTGGGTTGTAAATTCATAGTTAACTAAGGGGAGAAGTGAGGTCAGCAATGGTCAGATGAGCAGCAGAAAATGTCCTGGAGTGGAGTTCATGCCCAATTCAATCAGCCTAATCAATGGCTGAATAAGTAGCAATACTGATAGCACAGCGGGTAGGGCATTCGCCTTCCAAGCGGCCAACATGGCCGACCCGAGTTCGATTCCTCCGCCCCTCTCGGAGAGCCCGGCAAGCTACCGAGAGTATTCAATATGCCAGACACAGTAACAACAAAGTCTCCAATGGAGACGTTACTGGGCCCGCTCGAGCAAATCGACGATCAACGGGAGGGCCTTTTTTAAAAAAATGGTCTAGAAATGAGGGTACAGCAACAGCAGCTGTAAATAAGAAATGAAGCAGTCGGTTTGCATGGCCAGAGTGGGGACCCAGCACTTTGAGTAGATAGCAATGATAGTGTAGGGGTGGGTTGAGGTTTATATTAATAGCTATTTGTTATTTTAATAGCCATTAGTTATTCATTTTTCTTCACTTATTCATTCAATGAGTGTTTGATGGGCTGGATACCTATATCCTGAGGCCAAATTACCCATATTCAAATTCTCTGTCACTTCTCAGATGTGTGACTTTAGAAAATTTAAGTTTCCTATCTGTGCCTTTTTTCAATTTTAAAATGGTATACTGGTGATGGTGTGGCATTAGAGTTACATGCATGGGAAACCACTGATAACAATATTGTAATTCACTTCATATTTTTATTTATTCATATTTTTATTTAGCGATTTACCCACCCCCAGGAAGCGCCTCACTGGCTGAGAGCCTGCACCCTGCCCACATGCAGAGGCTGCAGGCTTGGCCCCCCCTTACCCCCCTTCCCCCACCGCAGGGCAAGCAAACAGAAGGCCGAAGACTTCTGGGCAGGATCAGGAGGGCCAATGGGGTGATTCCCAGTGGGAGCACAGCCAGAAAACGATTCCGAGGGAGAGTCTGTTCCACCAGCCTCACCCCAGTTTCCTGAGACTCATCCAGATGCCCCTAGGAATGAATTCAGGCGAACCCGCTCCTCCTGTGCCGGGCACAATGCTCCCCCAGGTCTCGGCTGGGGCAAGAGCACATCACAAGGCACCTGCAACCCAAGGCCCCGATACAGTGTGTCTCCATGCTGTTCATCCCTGGAAGTGGGGACCAGGGCCCAGAGTTTGAAATAGATTGCTAGTCTGTTGACCCTGGAACTCTGGGGGTATGGAGCAAGGGCTTGAAAAAGGGTAGCAGCAGAGAGGGGATGGTGTGAATAGGAGGGAAACATTTAGGAGATAAGCTGCACTAGAAGCTTAGGGGGGAATGTATGGACAGGGTGCCCCTCAAGGTTCAGGCTAGTCAGTTGAAAGCAAAGTGTTTCAGATTTCCACTTTGGACACAGTATCTTGGAAATATCATTTGCTATCCAAGGAGATACATGGAATAATTGGTTGGATGGAATCACTTAGGGAACAGAGAATTAGAGGTGCTGGGTGAGTGAGTGGAGCATTCCAGATAGTAGGGACTAACACAGCCTTGGGTCATCAGTGTAACTCAACTAATGACATCTTTTTGTCACAAAGTACTGATAACCAAACAACATCACTGTTGACAATAGTGAGCGAATTTATAAATAGTAAGCAGTGAATAGATAGGGAGTGTCATGATACATATTTATATTACATAACTATGAAAGAATCATTAGTATCATAGTATGGGTGTCATAATGTGTTCTAAATTCAACAGAATCATGTGGCTTTTTATGAAGGAGTTTAAGTGGGATTCTCCACATGACTTTTAGATGTCCTCCCTGTACAGTGAACATTGTTTCTTCTATCTACCCATGGAAATTGTTCCAGTTTATTTGCAATGATGATTCAGTGGAATCTGTTTTCTTTGGTTTCAGATCCAGTGCTTTGGGAATGCTTACAGGTCTGTGTAGCTTCACATATTGTAATAGTTGAGATCTAATTTCATCTCTTATTTGTGGGAAAACCTAGAAGCCAAAAGCCAAATACTCAAGTAATAAACTTGAGAGTCACTCGTAGTTATTGTTCTTTTCTCCTTCAAATCTACTCAGAATGAATTCCTGGGATTTATTTATTTCTCTTCTCAAATAGTTCAACACTTAATATTATAGAAGCTGATGTTCTCATCCAAATTATGATTTTCATTGAAGTTTAGTTCAACAAATTTTAGGGTTATATGTAATAAACTCTTTCCATGTAGATGAAATTTTGATTTACTTCTGTAAATATTTTTATAACTGAGAGTGGGGCATCCAAACAATTGTTAAATATTTGTCTAGAATATGCTTTAGAGAAGTCTCTGCCAACAACTATTCTTTGCTGGTGTCTGGAATGGGTAACTTGCTCCTTCATTTTTCAGTCTGTGTTCTCAACAATAAAGTAATGATAAAATCCAAACTAGGAGATTATGATTTTAATATACTTTATTTAAAAAGTACACAGTTTTAAATTGGTTTCAATGGGTTTCAAGCAGAAGGGACACTGCCCACTTGCAGCCCCATTTCTGATGAAGGATGATTATTATCATGTAGCAAACTCACATTTGCATGACTGGCAAAGTAAAAAGATAACTTTTTTGTCAACATAGTTTTAAGAGTTTATATCACGCACAGTTTAAAATCATGAGATGCTGATGGTTGGACTATATTTCATGTCTCCTATGTCGCACCATATTTTGGTTCACAGTTTATCCATAATTTAGCATGCCAAGAGAACATCTCAGTCAGTGTCACCTTGAGAAGAGCATCAAAAGCAGAGGGAACAGCATAAGGACCAGCTTGGCCTGGAGATTGGATGCACTCCCACACTCCCTTGCATTCTCCTACAGAGAAAGTCAGAGTTGGTTAGAACAGTGATAGATTCAAGAAGACTTGAAAATATCCACGTTGAGTCCCCAGGTCTGCCCTACCCCCTTCAGTATACAGTCTTTAGGAACCTTAAAAAAATGGACTTATCTAAATTTGATGTTGGTGTAGAGAAACTGACTTCTATTGTTAAAGCATAAAATATACAAAATTAGTCTTTGCATGCTAATATAAATATGAAAGAACAGAAAAATCAAGAGGAAAGTGAATAATGTCAGAAATGTCAGTCACGAGATGCAAATATTGATTATGAAATTAAAATGTTGGGTTTCTTATTATTATGTGTAAAGAAAATGGCTTGATCATTTCAGACACTTAGTTTTAGATGGCTTTATGTGTTTTCTTTCTTTTTACTTGGGAAGGGGTTTTCTGTTCTACAAAAATAAAATCATATTATCTATTTCTGCCAAATCATTTTTATTTACCAATGAAACTCCATTATGTTTGGTCTATTTTATTCAGCTATTATCTTCTGTGGGGATCTTAGAAGCAGTGCTCAGAAGACCTACAGGATTCTCTTTCCAACATCAGCCAAAACAATGCGCCAGTGGTTCAATGCATGGGTACCAAACACGTTGCTGATTAGGTCCCACAGTGCCAGGGATCACCCACCCACTCTGGTAATATTTGGTACCTCTGGAGCTGTACCCAGCAATACTTGGGGTACTACATGGTGCCAGGAACAAATTGCAGTCAACCACATGCAAGGCATGAGCCTTAACCCTGTTACTATCTCCCCAGACCCAGTTATTATCTTATTGGTGAGCATTCATTTCTCATTTTTTCTGTACTGCTACAAAGAGTACTGATTATAGGACTTTACCAGCCAATGATATATTCCCCTGCCATTGTGTATGGTAAAGATATACGACTAAGGTTCAGAATTGATAGTGTTTTGTCCATAAGTGGCTGTCATTAGGTAACTTTAAATGTTACCTATATTTTCTGATCATATAGTAATATATATCTTTTGTGTCCTTGGTTTATATTTTTATAGGGACTATACCTGATAACACTCAACCTGATTGTATTATTTGGGAGCATGGAAATACTCAAGGGCTACCAGAATCACACCCTTGGGTTACCAAGGTCATATATGGTTGTGCTTAGAGTATTGCTTGAAATCAGGGATCAAACTCTATAGCTGAGGCTGTTTTGAAAGCTCTACTTGTTTTATTTTTCTATGTTTGTTCATTTAACCTCAGACAATAGTGGGAATGTTGACTGTTTGAACTGTATGGAAAAAAAAAGTTTGGGCATTGAGCTTCCGTATGACCCAGAAATTTCACCTCTTGGCATCTACTCCAAGGGTCAAAAAATTCTTATTTCAGAAAAAAAATTCTCTCCTAACTCCATGACAGCACTATTCACAACAGTCAAAATATGGAAATGACCAGTGTCCAAGAACAGATGACATAATAGGCACCATGGTATGTAAACATGATGGAATACTAGTTGGAGATAAAAGAACATATCATCTAAATTTCTTCCATGTGAAAGAATCTGGAGGAATCACTGTGCATCAAGTCTATTAGAAGGAGAGAGATGGATAGAGAATTCATCTCTCTCATACGTAGGATATAAAGAAGGGTAATAAAGGAATAACAGATGATCAAAAGCAATAGAATCTTAGAACTTCTATACAGAACTGAGACTAGTTACAATAGTGGGGAGATGACAGAGGGTAGGAGGTGGGGGATTTGAGGGTTGTTAAGCAGAGGACCCTGAGATAATGGTGAAGAGAAATGAACATTTTAGTGGCAGGGGGAGGTGTGAGATGTTGGAATAAGTTATGCATAAAACCTTATCATCAATAATAGTGTGTAGTGGTAATTAAAATTAAAAAACATATTTTTTGCTTTTTAAATAAATCTGTTTTTTCCTTGATCTAGCATATGAAATTCCTTACAGTCCTTAGGATCTCTTGTGAGATTATTAATTCATATTCTCTACTTTGAATTGAACTTCCATCATATATAAGTATTTCTATTCTGTTACACGGACCTCATCTTACTAGGTTTGGAAAAAAAGGAAAAATACTATTTAAAATGTTTATCATATATCTAGCTATCAAAGAAAATTATTGTATAAACTGTAAGGAAAGTTTTGCTCTATGATTAGTTGTCTAAGTATGCAGTTCTACTTTTAATTGAAGTCGTTTTAGTGTCTCAGACCACTGTTTATATTTGATTTACACAGAACTTTTCTTAGGAATGATTATTGGATTCTACAAAAGGTTCTTGCAGCATATATTTGCATAATATGTTGCTATTAAATTATCCTTTAATAAATCAAACATTCTCCATATATTACAAATTCTTATTAGTACCACAATGCCTTAAACATCTTTTGCAGTATTTAAATTTTTAATAACCTTAAAATTAGTTGATATTGAGAGGTGAAATTAGTCCTTGCTGGCTCTAGTGACATTTTCAAGAGGAGATATTTTCCCAGTCATCTATGATAATTGATTTAGGTTTCTCCATTTTTCAGGGTGGAATTAATTTTTAAATTTGTGTTACTTTTTCTAGCTTTAAAATTACCACATATCACTGAATAGTTGAAGCAGATTTTCTTTTTTCAAAACAGTTGGGTGGATAAAATTATATAGTGTGTCAGTATTAATTAAGAGGAGGGTAAAACAATGATGCAGTAGTAATGATTATGTGGTCAAGTGTAGCATGGTTTTTAGATTAGACCATAGAATTGCAGGGATTGTCTATTCATCTACATCTTTAGTTATGTTCACCTCTTTGGTTTACACTTCCATTTTCTTCTAGGCATCATTTTGGTATCAATGCCCTTATTTTTGTGCTTTGTTATGGGTAGGGAGTTTTGAGATGGTATTTCACCTTCATATGCTGTGCCTCTCCATCTAATATTAAGATTTTCTGATTTTGCTTTGTGCACATTTGTGTTTTATTTATTTATTTTTTAGTGGGGGGGTGGTTGTTGTAAATGAAAGACTGTCTAAAAATAAGGTGGGAAATCATTTGAACTACAATTAGAAACATGTAAATGTAAAATGTAAAAAATGTAAAAAAAATGTAAAAGTCACAGTCACTTTGTGTGCTGTGGCAGGCAATGAAATCACAGCATGCACACAATAGAGAAGACAGTAAAGAGGTTGTTGTACACATGCCTGTGCATGGGTGTGCGTGTGTGTGTGTGTGTGTGTGTGTGTGTGTGTGTGTGTGTGTGTGTTTAAGGGACAAGGTTGAAACAGCATACAGACTATTTACAAGTAGATTTATTTTTGAAAGTAGAGTTCCATTAACTTTCCTCTACATATTTTTTATTTGCCTGAAAAGACTGGCTTGCTCATGATTAAACTTTTAGCTACAGTTCTTTGACCACTGTGAGATTCTCATAAAGAATCTGATGGGAAAAGGGAACATAAAGAGATCCCAGACTTACCTCAGGATGAAATCCATGACACGATTCTGGACGCCGTCTGATCTTCTGGGCCTTTAAACGTTCACACTTAAGAGATTCATTATGTTAACTGTAGTTAAGGCACATTTCCAAGATGTTATTTTTCCTTACTCTGCATTTCAGATGTCAAAATATGGCACTAACTCCATTAACTACTTCTCTTTCCAACAGAGGGATAGTGTAGTTTCCTCTAAAACATATTTCCGGTCTTTTCTTACTATAACCCCCACCCCTACCCCTTACCAGCGACAGCATTAGTGACCAGTTTTATACATAAAAGGATATACCTGATTTCAATGGGCGCCATGGTAATGGGGGCCACAGACTCACAGAGGCAGCTGCTGTCCACCACCACCATAAACAGATTGCTGCTTGGGATTTGCTGGATAACAAAAGACCTATTGGAACAAGGGGCACAGAGACAGTGACTGGTCATTTACCATCCCTCGAGTAAAAAGAACCATGAGGACAGCTTTATCCCCAGGGATAAAATAGGGGAGTAAATTCTCTAATATATTAAAGATATTTTTCCAGAGAAGACTACAGTATTAAAATACTACACCAAAAAAACCTTCCATAAGGCTTATCACTTTTAAATTCAAAGCTTTGTTAAGAAGACAATACATAAATCCATAATTCTGGCCATAGAGGGTTCATAAATTTCACATTAGGAAGACAGGAGTTTTATATGACAAAAGCAAGAGAGTCAAAGTCACCCTAGTACCCAAGGTGTAAGATATTAGGCTTTTCTGAGTATTCTAATACTTTGTGGGGAATTATTAATAAAACAACCCCATTTTGTCTTACCCATTACCATATGTTGAATAATGCAAGTATGTCTTAGAACACACAAAACACCTGCTTTTCTTTCTATGAATGTCAATGTCTATTCATCTAACATCCATAATAATGCTCATTTTTTCACTCATAGCATGATAAAACGCAAAAGACTTGTCTTCAATTTCTACCATATCTGCAACACCAAACCTAGTTCTTGCCACTTCTCACAACTAACCCAGCTGGAGTAAAAAATTAAACCTTGCTATCTCACAAAATGGGAGGTGGGGGGCTGGAGCAATAGCACAATGGGTAGGGCATTTGCCTTGCACGTGTTCAACCCGGGTTCAATTCCCAGCATCACATATGGTCCCTCAAGCACTGCCAGGAGTAATGCCTGAGTGCATGAGCCAGGAGTAACCCCTGTGCATCGCTGGGTGTGACCGAAAAAGCAAAAAAAAAGAAAAAGAAAAAAAAACTCTACCTTAACTTCTTCCTATCAACACTAAGTATCTCTTCCTATACAAGGACATTGTTCTAGAGTTGGTCTCTTTGTAATGGATTATGCCTAATGAACATAAAAACATCCTATCTGAGATGGCTCATTAGAGAACCAATGATTATCAGGTTGCAAGGTATGACCTCTCAAAGAAAAATTCAAAACAAAAAGGACACAACCCTCTAAAGAAAAACTAAGTTCTTTAAATTTTTAACAATTAATTCAAATTATTCCATCAGATAATACATGAGAAAAAAAATATGAACATAAAATATAAGCTTCAAAGAGAGAAAATATGATTTATTTTAAAATTTAGAGTTACAGCAGGTAGGTGCTTGCCTTGCATGCAGTTGATAGTTTTTTTTTTAATTGAATCACCATGAGATACATTCACAAAGTTTTCATGTTTGAATTTCAGTCGTACAATGATCAAACACCCAACCCCTCACCAGTGCACTTTTTCTACCTCCAATGTCCCCAGTATCCCCCACCACATCCCAACCCTCCCTCTGCCTCTATGAAAGACAATTTTCCCCATACTCTCTCTCTACTTCTGGGAATTATGGTTTGCAATACAGATACTGAGAAGCTATCACGTTTGGTCCTTTATATGCTTTCAGCACACATCTCGCATTCCGAATGATCCCTCCAACCATCATTGACTTAGCGATCGCTTCTCTATTCCAGCTGCCTTCTCCACAGCTCATAAGGCAGGTTTCCAAATATGGAGCAATATTCCTGGCCCTTGTGTCTCTATTCTTGGGTGTCAGTCTCATATCCCTGACACTACATATGGTCCCCTGAGCCTTCAGTAGGAAGCCCTAAGAACTGCTGGGTGATGGGCACCAAAGAATATAAACATAAAATATAAGCTTCAAAGAGAGAAAATATTTTTTTATTTTAAAATTTAAGGTTATCGCAGGTAGGTCCTTGCCTTACATGCAGCTGATAGTTTTTTTTTTAATTTAATCACCATGAGATACATTCACGAAGTTTTCATGTTTGAGTTTCAGTCATACAATGATCAAAACACCCATTCCTCCACCAGTGCACATTTTCTACCACCAATGTCCCCAATATCCCCCCACCGCCTCTATGGCAAAGAAAATTAATAATTAAAATGATATAAATTTTAAGGATAATTGCTAAATAGAAATCTTTGAAAGCAAAAATCTGGGAAATCTAAGATAGCATGGTAATTCACATGTGACTTGAATGATGCTGAGCTGGGTTCTATCCCTGGCATGCCATATGGTTCCTCAACTTCCACCAGCAATGATCCCCCCACACACAAAATCATGCAAAGGAGAGGAACAGGTTTAGAAACACACAACTATTCAAAGTAAAAAATTTTAATATAATAGTTTGTAGTGAAAAATAATATGAATCATTATTATAATAAAACAAAGGATGAGTTTTATGATAGTATATAGATACTATCATTAAAATACTATCATGGAAATAGCAAATCATTGATGCTCTTTTAAAATATTGAGTAAAAACGTAGGATTTAAGAAAAAATACATGATTTTCAAATGCATGACACATATCAAAGAGCAGAAAGCATTAATTACATGCTTTTATATGGTGAGACACTATATAAAAGGACACTACCTCCACTATCCAGCCGCCACCACACTCCAGGAGGCTTTCCGGACCCCCGCGGCCGCTTTGCGACACATCATAAGACACTAAATACCCATCTTCCGGAATTGTCATACCATATTTGATAGGGTTCAAATATGGTAACACCTACAAGGGTGATTAGAGGTCGCTCCAAAAGCCTCTATCTCTCTCGGAAAGACTGGCAAGCTACCGAGAGTATTCCACCCGCACAGAAGAGCCTGGCAAGCTATCCATTGTGTATTCGATATGCCAAAAACAGTAACTACAACTGGTCTCATTCACCTGACGCTGAAGGCTTCACCGACATGACAGCACTGAGAAGGATGAGAAAGGAGAGGCCGACAAAATCTCAAGGCCGAATTAGGCTGCCACAACGAAGGAAGACAAAAATGATCGTCTGTACATTCAATGCACGTACGCTAGCATCAGATGCATCCATCGAGGACCTGATGGTACAAGCGCGAATGATCAAGTATGACATCATTGGTCTGACTGAGACAAGAAGGCACGAATCTCACCATGCCATTTTCGACACTGGAGAAGAATTGTTCCTCGGATCATGCGATAAAAGAGGTGTTGGAGGCGTCGGTATCTTTGTCAACACAAACTTGGCCAAGAGCATTGATTCATTCGAATGCCTAACAACCGGAATCGGACGTTTACATTTGAATAGATGTGGCTCACTGCCTGCAGTTTCTATCTTCGTTGTCTATGCACCAACATCTCATTATGATGAAAGAGAAATCGAGAAGTTCTACATGGAGCTGGAGAAGTTCTATAAAGAAGACCACACCTTCTACAAGATCATTGTGGGTGATTTTAATGCCAAGATAGGACCGAGAAGATCAGCTGAAGAACTTCACATCGGGACTCATGGCCTAGAATGGAACGAACAGGGTGAGAGACTGTCTGAGTTCATCATGTCGACCAGGGACCATCCATGGTAACTCACAGTTCCAGAAGGCAGAATCTAAAGGTTGGACATGGGAGTCTCCCGGTGGACGATTCCACAACAAAATAGACCACATCATATTCAATCGACGGTTTTGCCTGACTGATGTCGCTGTTATCCCAAAATTTCGAACAGGATCGGACCACCGTCTCCTTCGAGCAAAATTCTACTTCACAGAGCGGGGAGAAAGGGCTGCAAAGTTCAAAAAGAGAACTCCCAGAACGACCACCAACTGGGAACTCTTTGGCACTGTTGCGGCAACATGGGAAGATGCCATTGTTGACAACATTGACGAGGAATACGATCGACTGGTTCAGCACCTCCATGAATGTGTGAGGAACGCCGAGAGAGATAGCCGCAAAAAAATGCCTGTCTTCGAAAACTCTTGAGCTAATTCACCAGCGTGGTGACAAATGACCTGGCACCCGAGCTGCGCAGGAGGAAGAGAGCGGCTTGGAACGCCTTCAAGAACGTCGAAGAAATAGCTAAGAGGACGAAGAACCTCCGGCTCCGGGCACATCTCTTTGATTCCACTGTTCTTCCTGCATTAACATATGCCTCAGAGACTTGGGCCCTACACAAACAGGATGAGAACGCTATTCAGGTCTCCCAAAGAAGAATAGAAAGAGCTATGCTTGGAATATCACGTTTCACTCAAATGAGAGAAAGAATCCGGAGTTCCGACATCCGTCGATGATCAAGAATCAAGGACGCTGTCTCATTTGCCAAGGTGTCAAAAATCAGATGGGCTGGTCACGTAATGAGATTTAACGACGACCGCCAGACTAGAGCTGTTACTGACTGGATTCCACGGGATGTCAAAAGACCGCGTGGCCGCCCACCTACCAGATGGTCAGACTTCTTTGTCAAGATCATGAACGATCGGTTTGAGGCTCTTCATGTTCCCAGAGCGAACAGATGCCATTGGGCTACACTAGCACGCGACGGGGACAAATGGAGACATTACTGGCACCCGCTCAAGCAAATCGACGACTAATGGGAAGTTAAGTTATTAAGTGATATAGTGAGATACAATTAGAAATCAAACAAAACAAACACTGTCCTCCCGTTGTTCGTCGATTTGCTCGAGCGGGCCCAGTAACATCTCCATTGTGAGACTTCTTGTTACTGTGTTTGGCATACTGAATACTCTCGGTTGCTTGCCAGGCTCTTCGAGAGGGGCGGAGGAATCGAACCCGGGTTAGCTGGGCTGGCTGCACGCAAGGCAAACGCCCTACCACTGTGCTATCACTCCAGCCCGAAATCAAAAGCAAAAATAAAATATAAACAGTGGGAATTAAGTTTAAAAATACATTCAATTAGTCCTTGAGAATTTCAACCACCCAGTTCAGATTAAAACTCTGTACTGAATAACTTTGAATACTTTTATTGAGGAAATGAAAAGGAATGCAAAGAAATAATTACAGCAAGTTTGCAAATTGAGAAGTTGGAAAAATAAGAACACAAACATTGCAACAAAGTATCAGTGCCCCTCTAGTGCACTGGACTAAATATTGATGTCTCCATTCAAAGTCCAGCCAAGA